ATGTGGCATTTCCATGGCAGGTAATGGATTGAATAGATCACGTCTATCTCCCTTCTGCACTAGCCAGCTGGAGTTAGCCAGTTGGAGGAGATTAGTAGAAGAAGCAGGGAGTAGGACGGAATATAATCATGCCGTGCTCAGGGAGTTTCTTCTATCTCCCTATAACAAACCACTGCGCAGTTGTTCTGTGTTGGGAGGAACCACACACAAAGTAAGGAATGATCACTGTGTTGAACAGATGATCTGTTTGCTATGCTTGGGAATGCATGCGACATACCCATTCACTTCCACATCACATCGCCGATGTATCAATAACCGAGTGGTTGGTTGACTGTCAGACAAAGCCTTGTCTGCACATGATTAGGCTGAAACCATGCACACGAGGTAGACAAGTGTGCGTTTGTGACAAGTTGTCAAACAATCAACCCACTGACTGATGGGACGACTGACGCGAAAAGCGTAATAGTCAAAGACTAGTCCGAACAGTGCACTGCTGGTCTTTTCTCTAGTTCATGAATGTATACCATGACTGTTAGTTTCCATCGAACGCATCATCTACCAGTTTACGTCGCTCAGTTGGAGTTTCCGGGATCGGAAAGCCGCCCTGGCTGCGCTTGATTTGTCCATTCTGGTGTCGCGATGGGGGGAACGCTTCTCTGCGGCTGCAACACTGTCAGTGTATTGATTACACTTGAATTACTGCAAATAACGTACCATCAGTGTTGGTCTCCGCTTCATTGGTCATTTCGTAGTTGAGGACCAGGTTCTTGATCCGTTGCTGTTCCTCGCGGTCGGCTTGCTGCTGGCTTCGCATTGCCACGGCGAAGCTGGAGTCGGAGGGTAGGTCGATCGTGCGGGTCTGCATGGTTAGTCATGAGCCAGTCTTGCAAGAAATAGATGGAGAACCTACCTGCTGCTTGTTCCCCTTCTTCGTCATCAATGAGAACGCCATGGTGTTGTTCGTGGGCTTGGGTGCCTCTGGCGGGGGCGTCTCGAGCGCTGCCTCACGTCCAGACCGCTTCATCGGCAAAGGTATGTCAAACACACCCTTGCGTTCGAATTTCCGGGATTCCATGCTTTCCGCCATCATCTTCTCGAATTCGCGGTCAAATTCGGCTTCCGCTTCTGGGTCGCGTTCCTCTTCCTGTCGAGTCACGAAGATCTCTTCGTCTTCGGACTCACTGTCGCCATTTTGTTCGGCGTTCGGACCGGACACCTGTTGATACGTTAGTAGATAATCACAATCTTAATGTCGGTCAACGAACCTCAGCCTCGTCGCTCGACTCCTGGTCCTCTTCCTCGAGCATTACGTCTTCCTCCAGACCCTCGTCTGACGAGCTGCTCTCCGCATCGTCCTCATCAGGCTCAGCAGGTCTCTCTGCATCCTGCGTCTTGAAGTTCTGCGCCACAGCCTCGCTGAAGATCTGAGTAGCCTCAGCCAGATCAGCTGCTAGCTTCCATTGAGGACGAGTCATGGAGAAGGTATCCTGGACTAGAAAATCAACGTCCATTGGCAGGGGATCCTTTGTATGCATGTAGTACTGTTTTGATTAGCGTTGAATTTCTTGCGGACAGTGGCAAAAATACCTGGAAGAAGGTCAAGAAGAAGTCAAGCTTCTTTTTGGCCGAGCCCCGATCAAAGCAGTGGCCGCAGGTGTCGAGAAGAGTGCAGACCAGACGGACACGGAAGAAGTCATCAGGCAGGTCAAGCGGGTTAATCCTTCCAGGCATGGGCGTACCACCCTCTGAGAGCTGTTAATGACATTTCGCGGACGGTGTCGACTCACTCACCATGACCAAAGGTAATAATGCGATACAAGGTGTCAAAGATCACCGGTGAGTCAATCATCTTGTAGTTGTAGAGCTCTCCGAGGTACTTGACTTCAGCGATTCGCTTCTGGTTGAACTTGAAATCGTTCTGCTCCAGACCCAGCGTGATCTGCTCGAGGATGTTGTCTACAACGCCGATGACGAAATCCTGGTGATATCTATAAAGGGCACTGACGAGGATCGCGAGAAGGTGGATGTTGCCATATTTGACCTTCACCGGTTTGCTGAAGACGCGCTCCAAAATATCGACCACCTATCACGCAGTTAGTATGATCTTCGTACACCACATCACTTCATGCTGTTCTTACATCTTGTTCCTCCCAATGAAGCTTGCGGATCGACTTCAAGATCTTGGTGTAGTTGCGCTTGTTCATATCCAGGTAGACCAGTCTCCGAATGTAAGACTCCATAGGGGTGCGCTCCTTCTGCTGAATGGCAGGTCGCGGTGGCGGATCAACGTAGTAGACTGCATTCTCGATGATCATCCGTTCCTGCTGACCCAGATGCTGGACAGTCTTCTTCCTTCCTAGAGTCTCCAGGAAGGAAGCCATCCTCGGGGACGTGTCAGGGTTCCGAAGCAGATAGCGTCCACAGTTCTCTAGGAGATGCCCGATGATCTCAATGTTCATGCGCGAAAAGTCATCCAGTGAAACCTTGAAGCAGTGGAAGATGATGTGCTCCGGAACTACACCAAACTTGGTCAGTTCGGCCAAATAACGGACATTGCTCATCCGAACCTGGCCCAGGAACTCCTTTGACTTCCGGCGCTGGAGGCTTCGGAACTCCTCGTCCAGATAGTTGGTGATTCCCTGGGGAATATCAGGCATGTACTGCCCTAGGGTTGCAACCAGACGAGAGTACAAGGGAAGAAGATCGATGCGGCCCTTGGGGACATCGGAAACTGCCTTGATGAGCCTGTTCCGAGACGCCTTTGAGTTCAGGAAGCAGAAGTCTAGCGCCAGCTGGTCAACCTGGTCCTTAGTCTGCAGATCGGGCAGCTTAGCCAGAAGCGCATCCACCTGGGCGCCGACAGTCTTGCTTGCGATAGCAGTAGACTGGTCATCGGCATCTGCTGCAGCCTTCTCCTCGGCTGACTGCGCTTGACCAGCTTCAGTCTTCTCCGTTTCTGTGCCGTCTTCTTCTTTCTTCTTTCCGGCCTCATCCTCCGCCTTCTTCTTCTTGCCATCCTCCAACAGTACAGCCGGCACTTTACCCTTAAGATCGACCAGATTCTCGTAGAAGCGCCGTTCCTCTTCGTCTTCCCAGATACCCGCGCCCTCTCCTTGGCCACGCAAGTACTCGCTAGCCTTCACCAGGCCGATACCACCGCCCGCTCCAGCATCAGCGGCTTCCTTCTCGGCCAAAGCTGGCATTTCCACGCCCAGAACCTCACACAGGACCTGAGTGTTGGTAACCAGTTTCTCCAGCGACTTCGTCTGCTTCTCAAAGTTGGCCTGGCGGTCTTCGAAGATTTCGCCACTCTTCACGTATGCTTCGGCATTGCGACGGCTCTGGGCGGCCAACGCTCTCTGATCGCGAACAACATGTGTCTTGACATCCTCCAGGTACCGATTCAGGATATGCTTGAACCGAAGCTGAGTCTTCTCCGAAGTTAGCGGCGGGTCATCACCCTCCGGGGCTGTTGTTGTATCCGCCTCCACATCGCCATTAACAGTAGTTGTAGCACCATCAGCCTCGACAGTCTTCCTACCCTCCTCGACCATCTTCACGCCCAGCACATCCCAACTGAAGCTCTTGACAAACAGCACAGCCAGTGGCAAATTTGAATGGTCGCGATCATGTCCAAGCAGGTCCTTCAACACCTCCAACGGAAACGGCTCGGGCTCCCTCTCACCATCTTTACCAGCAGACGGCGGCGCCCTTCTCACCGGCCCATCCGTCGCCTTTCCACCAATACCAACAACTCCATCCTTGCCCTTCGCGCCCACATCATCCGGCTTCTCAATATCATCCAGTGTCTTCAACACCCCCACCAGCCACAACTCCGTAACAACCCTCAACAACACCCGATGGCGAGACAACCGTTCCTTTTCCTCGCGCTCGCGCAACTCCTGGCTGAGCGCCTTCAGCTGTCCTCTATCCGGGGTACTCAGGCCCCGCCCTAGCAGCCATCCGATCTGGCGGGTGAATTCGGCAGGTCCGAAGCGCTGGTGCAAGGCACTAGTGATTTCGACACCTGTAGCAATTTCGCCGGGCGATTTGAGCTTGCAGAGACCTTCATAGCAGGCGGAGATAATTTCCGACAAGTATTTGTGCAGCGAGAGGGTGCGGATATCGGTTAGGAAGGTTTGTTGGGCAGCGGCGTTGATTCCGGTGCGGAGGCGCTTGATGAAAGCGGTGTTCTTTTTCAAGGCCGAATCGAGGGATTTGCTGACCGGAAAGACATCTGTTGCATCAAGCGATCAGTTAGTTAGTTAGGTAGTTACAATAACTTCATGTGGTTCCGATGCCGGATCATGTTCATGTATCGGCGTAGTGGGTTGAATTGATGAGGAGGGGGGAGGGGTTTTCTTTACCACTCTCGCCAGCCCATACTCTCTCATTTTGGAGGCGGAGATCCCCTGTAGACAGGAGGAATAAGTTAGCGAACTCAAGTTGGGGGAAATTTGGTGACATGTGGTGTGGAGTGGGATTGGACATACGCTTCCTCTGACGATCCATTGCTTGCCGCGGTGTGCGGTGGTGGTGGTGCAGCAGCAGCAATCAGCGCGTGGGTTGATCTCAACTGTCCGGGGAACCTTTCAAAGAGTGGGAAAGGAAAGCGCATGAGTGACTTGAACGCCACATTGGTGAAGCGGGCAGGAGACAAGTGACGCGCAAGGTGTCTCGGGCGTCAAGGGGAGGTGGAGAGAGGGGGAGGCAAGCCTTGGAAGTGGCTGACGGAAGTTGAAGTGAAGCGCAGCTGGGAAAGTGAAGAAGAAGTGGGCCGAAGGCGGAGTTCGTCATTACCCCAATAGTAAGTACTTACTACGCTGCGATAGACTCCAATAACTACTTTTTTTCAAGAATAAGTTGCTTCTTCTTGTTGGCACTGCCCCATCAAATTTATATTACTGATCCCATCTCCCTAATAGAATTCACTCTTACGGAATAACCCCATAAACCTCACAGTCACATCAAACATTAACCACAAACCACCAACATTCTCATTCAAATTCCCATCCATTCCTACCTTCAACCACAAATTACCATCACAGAGAATATCCTACTCATCCCCCATCACACCCCCATCATGTCCCCTCACCTCCGAAAACCCCATCTCCCTCCCCTCCGTCTCCAACAACCGCGCCTGCAACGCATGCTTCCGATCCTCCTCACTCCAACTATAATGCCGTACCACGGGCGGCTTGATACTCCTGCCTAGGATGCGACTGCTGGGATCTTCTTGCTCTCTTTCAGGACTGCTTTGTGTGTGCAGTGGTGCGTCTGCGTCTGCGTCGTTTGGTTGGTGTTGATGAGTGCGGGGGAGGGTGGTTGATTCGGTGGTGGGGATGATTCGTGGGTTTGGGGACATATTGAATGTTGATGAGTGGTTTGGTTAAGAGGGTGTATTGATTGGATTGGATTGGATTGGAATTGATTAGACTGAGAAGTGTGTTGTAGGTAGATAGGTAAGTAGAAAGATATAGGTAGGTTGTAGACTGGTTTAGTGTGCTACCTAGCGATGTAGTAAAAGGTCAAGCAAGTACTTGGTCTGGATGTTGGGAGGAGCGAAGGAGGGATGAAGTGTTGGGATGAATACGGATCTACTGGCTTAATATGCCTGCCTGCCTGCCTTCTTCCAGCAGATAGTATACCGTGTATCTCGGATGGAATCGTGGCGATACGATGTGGGCTGACGTCTAAACCGTGGCCAAGAATGATCCAGATCCAGCTAGGATTGGACAAAAACGAAGCCTGGACAGTGCTACTGCACGACGCGGCCAGATAGTTGATGGTGGTGTTGTGCTTGGACCTGAAGTCATTGGGACATCATCTATGGCGCAGGCACGTGATGCCAACTGCGGTGGAAACCAATGATCGTCCCATGTTCCTGGCTTCGAATCTACTGTGAACGATGTAAGAGGCTTGCATCTGAACATAACTAAAACGCTTTTGTTTCCCTAAGAAACTGTGATAACATACAGGTCATGAGGGTTGGGTTGGTTGAGGGTCCAGGGCTGCTGGGCATCTTGCCAACAGCGCACTGGGAGACAATATTGAAGGAAATTTTCAGACGCGGATTCGTTGACGGACGTCACACAAGACACGGGTAGGTCTTGAGCGCCCACAGAAATAGCAAGGTCTACACCATGAGGCATGGACAGAGACCCTGACTCGTAATGGTCAATGCTGCCACAAAAGGAAACACAGTAGACATCGCACGTGGACAAAACAATACATCTGGCTTGGGGGACCGTTAACAGAACGCAACAAAGGAAAGAAACCCACATCATCATACACCTTCATACAGCAACAAAAAAATCGACAGGGTATGCCCACGCCACGCTATGCGAGTCCTTGAAGAAAGATAGGAAGAAAGAAAAGAAAAGGGGAACGTTGCAAATATGTACTCAGAATCCAAGAAGGTCGTGTCAAGATATTAGCAGGGATCGAATGACTTTTTATTGTTTATTTGGGTTTGCGCCAGAAGTATTGCTGCGAAGGTCAGTTATATGTTACTGTTTAAGTGGGGATAAACGTACCTTGTGCTGCTTGCGGCAGTTGCGGAGGCCCGGCTTCCTGAGATCATGCACTACCGCCTCGCGTCGCATATCGTCCTCGTCAAAGTCAGGAATGTAATAGTACTCGGCTTCCAGAGGCTTTCCTGCGGCATCCTTTCCCTCCCGTGCCACCTTTCCAATGCACTTGGTCGTGTCCAGGATGGCACGGATCTCTTCTTTCGTGGGGCCCTCTTTGTGATGGCCGTCCCGTCTCCATAAGGATGGTGGGAGGTTGTTCAAGATTGTCGAAAATGGCGTGGAGGAGAGCCGAGAGAACGCCAATTGGTTGGCGGCATGGTTCTGAACCCGTTCAAAGCTCTCGCTCAACGGCTCCAGCTTGGTTACTGTGCTCTCCGTCGACTCAACGGCCTTGGAGGGTTGTCCCGGGGACTTGGTAGGCTGGACAACCTGGTTGCGGGGTCGTGCAGGACGGAGTGGTGACTCATCTGCAGTGAATGAGGCCATTCGAGGGAGTAGATTGTCGCCAAAGGGTCCAAAGGAATGAACAATGGGGTCATTTTCTTCATCATGGTCCGAGAAGTCATCTTGCTTGCTCAGCTCACTCAACTCGCTGGACTGCGAGCTCTGCAGAATGTCACTAGCGATGGACGACGACTTCTGATCTGCATCAGCAGTGCTGTTGTGACGGCTAGGTGAAGCCTCGTCTTCGTATACGACCACGGAATTCCGCGAGCGTGTCGGGGTATATATGGGTGACGATGGGGGCACCAAAGACTTGACCGCAGGGGACGGCGAGACGGGAGACGCCAAGCGCTGACGTTCCACATTGGGGCTTTCGTGAATACTCCGACGGGACTGTGCTTTACGTTTGGGTGTAGTCTCCTCCCATGTCTGCTCGGAATCCGTCGAGGCATAATCTTTTCGGTCACTTTGAGGCCATTGGACCAGCACGCGGGCGTCATGAACATCGATCATGATATCAGCATCCTTGATATCCGAAGTAAACGTCTTTCCCTTGGCCAAGTCATATGTTTTCCCCTGACAATGCAACTTAATCCCGTTCCATCCCATGCACATGATCTCCACTCTATCAGGGTCAAAGGGATTAGCTGCGGGCTTGTAAGTAGCCTTGACATGCACCCTCGATATCATACGGTTGGCCGCGAGCTGGTGATGGCACGAGGCACTGGACCTTCCCATCAGGACGGGCTCCCCGCTCTCGGGAAGCGTTATGGTAGGGACAGCAGACAGAGGGGTTCGTTCGGAGCTGGACGAAGTAAACGTACGCCGTGAGGCCGTTCGCGGCAGGGCCATTCTCGGGGGGGAGGAGGACAAGATATGGGTCGACGAGGTCGGCACCGGCGTAGGGTAAGTCGAGACAATGCCATGATTGTCGCGTGCTACACGCTTCTGTGGACGAGGAAGTGAGGGAGAGGAGCTCAATGGCTCAAAGGCAGGCAACAGGGCCGCGGGACGCTTCACACCTGCCACCGGAGCAGCCAGACTGCTCCTTGGAGGCGAAGACTCCATGATGTTATTAAGTTGAAGTTAAGGCCGTCTGGTCGTGAACCACGACCCGGACACGCTCGTATACCACTCAAACAACGGCAGGAGGGGTGGACGAGGATTAAAAAAGATCAATTGAGGCTTTCGTCGCGTCGAGGAAGAAAAGGTTGGGGGAGGAATGTCTAATTCTATGGGGTGGGAGTCAATTCAAGAGACTCGGGGTCCTGAAGGAAAGAGAGAGAGAGAGACAAGATGAAGCGTGTCAAGGATGACAAAGGGAAGGAACTTTGAGGCTTCACCCCCCAAGACGAGGGCCAGGAGGTTGGGGAAGTACGAAACTGGGTACGAACAGGCAAAAAACGAGAAACATTGAAGAAAAGGGTGAAAGGATGGTGTGTGGTGGAATGCCTGCCGGAACGGAGCGTCTCGTCCAGCGCGGAAATGCACGCTTACAACCCGAGACGCGTTCGATAGGCGCCGACGAGGGTCGAGAGCTCCACCACTAAGCTCGCGCAGCCTCGCAACTTGGACCGTCCGAAACTATGCAATGCACTGCTGACTTGGGTGGAAGGGAAGTTTGCCAAAATATGCCAGACTCCGGTTGCTTACAGGTGTGGAAAAAAAAAAAAAAAAAAAAAGGTAAATCAACCCTGGCGGCTCCCTGAGTTCCAGCACTCCCCTGCTTGTCTAACGGAGGGAGGAGAGGTGGCTAGTCTATAATCTCGGTATACACAACCCTCGACACCCCAGGCAGGAACGAGGCGCGTCTCCGCGTCTAGGAGTCATGTGCTCCGCGTTTTCTGGTTCGGGCCCCGTGATGGCGCGCCTGATCACGTGGTTCTGGGCACCCAGCCTCGGCCAATGACCAGTCGAGGCTTTACCCAAAATAGTAAAGCCATGTGCCCGTTGCAGGGATTTCGTACAGATCGTGACTCGCTATCCCCATCTGGACTAGTGCGTGCGACGTGAACAGTCCTCAAATGGGGTGGATGACTTCAACTGCCCCTGATGGCATCCTCCACAATACTACCTACGCAGGCTCGAACTTGGTAAATGGTCTCATCATCGGGCCAGGTATGGGCCCGGAAAAGACACCCGGCAAGATGAACCCTCTTTATGGTGTGATAGAAGTCACAACGTGTAGTCCAATCGCCGGTTCCATGGCATCATCACCCCTCATTGCGGTAAGTATATACTTAGTAGCAGTAGTAGTAGTACCCTTCCCGGACAAACTGTCGCAATTGCGCCCCCAATCCACCATAACAGTTGGTCTCTGTTACTTAAATCTCACTTTACAATGTAACATTAATGATACAATCCATTAGTCAGGAAATGAGGACAATGACTACTTAAGTGGCGATCGAAACAGCTTAACCCACTAGAGAACTTCAAAGAACCATGATGAATACTAATTATTGATATGACGGACCTGAAATGCCAAACCCCAGCCCACTTCTGACATGCCACACATCACCGGTGACAGAACCCTGAAGAACTCACCGACCGATCGGGGGCTCCACTTATGCACATTCCAAGGTCACCGATATCTGATAGATAGATGGACACATCAGACCGTGCATGACGCAGGTGGATGCCGCCCTGGAATGCACCTCCACCGCCTCCCGAGCACTCTATCGAAGGATAATCTACATACCAGCCCTGACACACCTGCTTTCACTTAAACTCAGGAGGCTGGGGGTGGGACCCGCCTGGTTTCGTAGGGCCGCCCTTCTTTAAAAAGCTAGTTGTCGCCCTACGCGGTCACAAATACGGCGTCCATGCACCCAGATGGTATCAGATCGGCACAGAAAGAATTAAAACCATCTTAAATCAACTGACATAAACAAAACTACTATACAAGGCATTGCTAACTTATAACATGACGAGCAAATCTGGCTGCTCACGGGGGGGGGGGGGGAATAAGGTAGAGAAGTGCGGCTGAAAAGGACGGAAATCAGTGTTACTTTGCAGTAGAGAAGGTAAGGTCTAACCACAATCGTCTCCATCAAGGGAATGGCGACGCGACATATGTGACAGGTGCTATATTTTTCAAGCCACATAGGACAATATAGTAAGATACAGAGAAGAAAGCAACCGCACTGGACAGAGAATCATGAACAGAATGAACAGAGGCATGAAAGTTCTTCTATTTGCGAGCCGACGGGGTTCGATTCAGATTAGCGGAGGCGAACCGAATCGTACGGCGACGGCGGGTGGGTGTCGGGCCCTCGACTATCTTAGTAGAAGACATAGGTGGCGGAGCCGGAGAGAACCTCAACCTGTAGGTGAATGATGATCAGCAAAAGATCCCAGCAAAAAAAAAAAAAAAAGAGAGGAAATGAATGCAGGTCACTTACAGTGCAACCGGAGTCGTTGGAGCCAGACTCGGAGTAGAAGGTACCATCCTCGTACTTGCAAGAACCGCTGAGGTTGTCACCCTCGATCTTCACGTTGAAGTCAAGCTTGGTGGTGGTGGTAGGGCTGTTCTGGAACAGAGAAAGCCACTTGCCATCGTTGTAACCGACACCAAGGTTGATAGGAGCCCAGTTGCCGATAGGAGAGCTGCCGTTACCCCACTGGCAACCAGTCTCGGTGGAAACACCCTTGGGGTTAACGTAGTACTGAGCGGAAGTGGTCTGGTTCTCCCACTTGTAGTAGGTGGCGCCGTTGGGGCAAGTCAGGGGGTGGAGCTCGCTGTTGGCAGAGACAGCGAGAGGGATGGTCTCGGATTCGGTACCTGTATACACGATTAATGCCTTTGTTTTGACCCACATGTCGGAAGGGAAGTTCAATGCTTACCAGGGTAGTCGGTACGGCAAACAGCGACCTCCTCGCTCATGGTGTTCTTCACGTGGACACCTCCGACACCCTCAATGCAAAGCTTCTTGGACAGAGACTTGTTGGTAAGGTGGAGCTTGCCGTTCTTGCACTCAATACCACCAACGGACTGGCCGGTAGAACCCTGGGTACTGGGCCACTGGGACTTCTGGTATCCGGCAGGGCAGGCATAGGAGCACATGGCTCCGGAAATGCAGGAATCGCCGGTGACACCGGTAACGATGGTGTCGACAATCTCGTCGACGATGGTCACGTACTGGATACCAGACCAACCGCCAAGGCCAAGGTAGTCGAGGGCAACGGCACCGTATTCAGAGGGGAAGGTGTCGCAGTCAAGCTCGCCATCAGGGAACTCCTTGTCCACACCGGTGGCAGAGGAGGAGCTGCTGCTAGAGCTGCTGGCGGAGGAGCTGGAGGAGGCAGCGGCGTACGAGCTGCTGGTCTTGGTGCTGCTGGAGCTGGAGCTGGAGCTCGACGAGTGCTTGACGGCGACCTCGATGAACTCAGCAGCAGCCTGGACGGAAGCCGTGGGAGTCGGGCTGGTGGTGCTCGAAGCCACAGTAGAAGAAGAGGACTCGCAAACATCCGCAGGCACGTTGCCAGAGAACTTCAAAGTTCCCTTGCGGATACCAGCGCAGGCCTCCTCATAGGTAATGACCTTGCCGTCGAGAACGAAGGTGGTGACGGTAGGACCGGGCACCGTGACGACCTCGGCGTCGGGGGAGCGCTTGTGGTGATGGCGGTGCTGGTGGTGGTGCTGAGCGGACACCAGGGTACCGGCGGTAGCCAGGGTAAGGGCGACAGTATTGAACTTCATCGTGTCGGTTATTTAATTCGCACGGGGTCGCAAGCTGTTCAGTGTTGCGTCAGAATGTGGATCTAATCTATATAAACCGCGGGATCCCATATTAGCATGCGCTCAACCTCCATTGACCACAAGCCGGTCTGTTCGATACTAGGCACTAGCCATGTATGTGCTTGCATCCTTCACTGCGAAATGCAAGAGAACGAAGAGCTGCACTGCTATTGTATGTGATCCCGGGTGTTTGGCGGAGGTGCACATGATAGGAGACATACCAAATTCACAGCAAGCCAGTCGCGCGCTTCTTGCAAAAAATCTGTACACGAATCGAAGTCCTCGTGGGGCAGGGGTTGCTCAAAGTCTGGCAGAGACAAAGCAAGTTGCCTAGAATAGAGTATGAGAGTTAAAGAGTGAAAGAGAAGAGAGAAACAGGTTCCCAAAAGAGCGTACGAGAGAGAAGCTAGTTCTCTCAGGTCGGATAGGAAATCTCGCGAAGGATAGCAGGCGAAGGGCCGAAGATGAAACGCTCTGGGGGGGAAGGGAGGCAAGAAAATGTGGAGGGGGATCTCGAGGGAGAAAAGGGAAATCGGGAGGGAGATGAAGGAGTAAGTAAAGGTTTAGTTCGCGCCGTGGACCAGGGGGGGGGGGAGGGAGTGAGTGGGCAAGAGGCGATAGACTAGCTTAGTGTGGATGTGGGCAGGAGGGACAAGGAAGGCGTGCGCTGACCTTTTTTTCCAGGGGGTGAACCAAAGGAACCAAGAAAGAGAGTGTGAGAAAGTAAGTGAGAGGAAGAGAGAGCGTGGCACTTGGACCGAATGAGTGGATGGTTAACCAAAAAAGAATAAAATTCACAGGCAGGGAAATAATGGGAATACTAATAAAATAACAAAAATAATCATAATAAATCATCAGGGGGGCCCACAGCCCGAAGGCTCAAGACATCGGGTTGAGTTAGTGTGGGCTGTTAGCCTTTTAGCGTTGGAAATTAGCTTGTTACAGTTGTCCGTATCTGTAGTGTCTGCGCGGTATTGTCCTCTTCTCCTTTCGGGAGTGGGCAATATTGATCCCTATTTTTGTGTCAAGCTACGGAGTATAAAAAACATTAATGATTGTCGCAGGACGGTAACTCTACTCCTGATGAGAAAATCAGGGACGGACGGGTATGGAGTACTACTATTATGGGACGAGAGCGCGGGAAAGGGTATGAAAGAATTTATCTACGGGCACGGTTTTGAAAAGGGGCGAGAATACTTCTGTAGTAAGAGAGAGAGAGAGATCACTGACAAAAGGATCTCAGACCCGTTTTTTCTTTTCCCTACCGTTGTGATGGTCAGGCGATGGACAGGGGGGCGCGGCACTGGAGAAAGAAGGCCAAGAAACCACCGGGGTTAAAATAAAAAAAGTCAACATGGACGGCGCAACGTGACTCGTGAGAATCGCTGAGAATTGCAGCTGTGGGTGGAGACAAGTGGATAGAATAGACAGGAACCGCCTGGGCTCTGGAACACTGGGCCAGCAAGCCAGCAGCCTTGGGGCTTTTCTGGGCCACGGCGGTGATTTTCCCCTTTGAAACCCTTACGTTTTTTTCATCTTCTGCTGGATTCTCTTTTCTTTTTTTGTGTTTTGGGGCCTTCCTGTTCCTGAAAGTGAGCTTGGCGTTTACCGAAATTACTGTGTCTCGCTGGCCACTCATAACCGGCTCTCGGGCACCAGCCGGTGGGCCATCAAACCTTCTCCCCGGTCAGGTACACCAATCATCGGGTCCTGTGCTGCCGAACCATTGCCACAATTTGGCCTACCAGGGAATGTCTCATGTCGGATCTCAATGTTGGCCTGCAGTAGGGGGAGGACTGTAAGTAATATTAGCAGTTGAGCACTCACCTACTATCTACCAGTAGTCCTCGGCTGAGTCTGCTCACTGTTCCAGTCGGGTTTGATGGGCGGTAAAGATATTTTCAGCCCCGAAACCATGGCCCAGCCTACTTTGTACTTCCCTCATCAAGTGTTCCATGAGTACACCTTTGTTGGTTGAATGGAACGGGGCCAATTCATCAATCAATCAATCAATCAATCTGGCTGACACATCTCCCCGGCGGAGTGCGGGAATTCCCTCCATCTGATTCTGATGTCACCGATTCCCCTCATGTTCGAGCAATTAGGCGAAGTGGCTGCCTAATTTATGATCATATTGTTCTATCCGTTGCTGCGTCGTCAATGTTCTCATCATATACCCCGCCTGCGACGACATACTTACTGAAAGGATACAGGCCATTACTTACAAACGATTTTCTCGGCCTGGTGCCCACTTTTTATAGTAGTAATAGACAGTGCACATCATGCAGAACAATATTAAGAGTGTCTCTCACTTCTCTACCTACGATCTGGCCTGGAACAGGTAACTTCTCTTACGGCCTGGTTTCCACCGACTAGAGCCCGTTGCGGAGCACGCAGACGTTAATCTCAACTTGCAGAATGACTACCTGAGACCCTGGCTTCGTCCGGACTGGTTGCTCATCCCACATGTCGTCATTTCAATACAAGAAACCTTTCAGAGATGTTTTCACGATGCCGTTGACTTGATCAGTACTTAGTATTAAGTAGTAAGTAGTTAATTGTTGGTATATCATTGGCTATTTGTTTTAATTAGAGACAATACCGCCTCTTGAGGAAAGAGGAAGCCGAGCGCTATCCAATACACTACACGTCTCAATTACATAGCGTCCTGGAACAACTGTCTATCTACACAATACCACTACCATCAACAACGGTGCGGTATCTCGCAGCCTTGTGTTCATTGGTTGTCCGACCATGGGTACATACGCAGGTACAGAGTACACCTGGTCCAAACGGATATCTTCCTGCATCGACGTGGCAAGGTACCCTCGACACGGCGACGCTACCTGACATGGCTAGGTGTCTATCGGTATTATATGCAACAATCGCGGAATCTTCCAACCGAATCTCATTGGTAGCGCCCCTCTTGTATTCTTCGCGACTTGACACATGTTTACAATATCTTTGATGGGTTCGGCGTTGGTAGCAGTGTAGCTCAGGCGCCAAAGATCCCACATAGATATCTGCCGAGAGTTATCGGAGGATTTCGAACATCTATCCCCGCCCTACCGGGATTCTCTTCACCACTGTTTGACTGGTCGTTAGCTTGACACGCAGATCCCATGATGAATGTGTTGGTTATCTGTTCAAGTGCGACACTCGTTGTTTGGTCCAATTTGGCCTCCTTTAATGATATCTGGCCCTTGCAGGCGATGCTGAGTCGTGTCAGCCTGTACTACGGCCTCTACGGAATCTAGTGTCTTCAAATTCCCAGGTCTTTTTTTTTTTTTTTTCCATCGGCGTTGCGATAGAGTAACCATCAACCTTGCCGATTCCGCTCCACGCCAGTGATAATTGCCATCGCATATTCTTCGTCTGAGTTTGCTTGGTATTGATCAGAATTTCGCCAACAGACTGGTCGGGTATGCTGCGATGTTGTCGTGGGTTTCGGTGCGGCGCCCAACCAAACAGCATTGTTGTTGTCGCCCAGCTATTGTACAAGTCCTACCTGGCCAAGACTGTCATTAAACCTAGCGTCCAGCTAATTGGTTGTGGAGGGGATATCCCTATTTACATGGATTCCTTTGCGTTGAGGCACCTCAGGCACCAAACAGTAATACGAGAGAGCAGCCTATGAGACCAAGAAAGCAGGCAAGGATCTCCTGGATTGACACCACCAGCCTCTTTCCAAAGGTCCTTTCAGGCTTTCAGCCCCTCAGCCCCCGGGCCAAGTCTTCTTCCTGGTCACTGCGCCCGCAACCAAGGGGTTCTGGAGTCTGACGGACCCTTTTGCGATAGATTACTATTGGACCCCTGACTGAGACTGCACCGGTAGATACCATAGTGGTAATCATACCGTATGAGCGGTGACGGTGTCTACTAGTCCTCCATACTGACCAACCAACTAAATAACTACACTAACCACTCCAACTACTCCGTATTAAGCCAGTGATGGATCCGCCCCATCCCATCCATGCTTATCGCCGCATAAAGTGAAAAGAGACACAGCGCGAAAAACGTGAATCTCGTCCGATGGCGTCCTGGTCCAAAAGCTTGGCAACTGGAGACTCCAACCCCCAATGCGGCCAAGACCGACTCATTAGCACCGGTTAACACGGAGCTCACAACAAAAGGGAGAAGCGCGGTAGTTACTGGCTGCTGGTTTGCTTGCGCGGCTTGTATCCGCCGTTTACGTACTCAGTTGATGCTAAGTGCCTGCGAAGAAGCCTATCTATCGGATATGTCTATCACTTCAACCAATCTGATAGTAGTCATCGCTGCTTCTCCGCATTCTGGATGGGTGAACCGAGGAGGGGATCGGAGCGCTCAATTAAATTAGGTGGAGTGGGTGGTGCGGTGCCTTTCTGCATGTTCAACTGCTCGATAAACAATCACCAGAATTATTTGGCCGCCTATAGTGGGGACAAGAAGCTTTTGGACCTTACATGATTGATCATTCTTCGTGAGCCAGTCCGGAGAGTTGGAACGTTCTTGAATGGACAAGTCTACGGGTGAAGCTCAGTCACTACGCCCAACTCGGTATCTCGACGACAGCTCACAACTTATTTCCACGCATCCGCCTCGCCCGTGTCTCCTCCCGTGGACTAATAGTCTCCTCCCACCCGCCATATTGACATTCGACTATTGAATTCTTATATCGAACTAATCTCCCAACGCATCAGCTATTGACGTGTCCCTGTCCAAAATGTGGTACCAGAGACGATGCTGTATTGGTGTGTTCTACCAATGATTCGCCGACTTGAGGGTCTCTTTCTTCCGATTAGTCACTTGACGTCGGGACTGCGGACGTCTATGGGATGCGCGCTGAACGGAGTAACAGCAAGCAACTAAAGCCGGGACTGTTTCAGGCACCGATGTCTTTGTCCTATCATTGTGCAGCTGTACCTGAGCCATCCCAAGTTCCGTTACTTTCTCCGCTATTCCACTAGATTTAATCCGTCGGAGACAGTTGGAGCAATTGTCTGGTTTCCGCCCCGTCCAGCCGAATTGAATAGTTAGCTTGGAGCAAAGAATATCGGTGCATCCTGTTCACCGGTCAGACGTCACGCACGGTGCCTAATTAATGAATATCGGCAGCCATCTGGAGAATCATTGACTCAAGATTGGGTTCGATACTTGCAAATACTACTACTACTACTACTACTACTACTACTACTACTACTACTACTACTACTACTACTACTACTACTACTACCCCTTAAGTGCAAATAGGGGTTTCCGAGCCTCTCCTGGACGGATGGCTCGGGCTGAGTGGTTGATACCCACAACGTTAGACTAGATGCGAGGCTTGTTCGTTATCTTCTGAATGTCGCTGTGGAGTGGTTGGGACTGTCGACTGTTACTAACAATCAGCAGTTAGGCCAATAGTTGCATCCGTTGCGGGATTGGCCGGATTCACACTAATGAGCCTTCTCCAATCGCATGCTTGAGTGACTCAATGACTGACGCCTCATGTCTTTGTCAATGATGTGTCGGTGTCAGAGCCGGCTCTGTTGTTTCTTTATCCGCTGTTTACAGGTCATGAATTTAGAAGCAAACAACATGCACACATCCCTGCGACAGCCTGACTGGCTCATTGCCTTGTTGCCTTGAATTCTAGGCCTCGATTGCACTATCTTGGCTGTACAGTTGCAACACAAAGCAACCACAAATGAACAATGGCGGTCTTCAATACAATGTCGTTACTATACAGCATGTGGGATTCTGGAACCCTTGGCAGTCCCACGTTGTTCGCGTCCATGGGTACATGCAAGGGACTCTTGAACAACCCACCTATCGCGGAACCTATCCGGAACTTGGCCCGTGAGAAATTAAGTTTGCCATGCTGCTGGGTACTTGGTTGTCTTTCACAGGTGGCTTGGCGATTGTTTTAATGGGAGACATGAGAGTAGCCGAGTGAATAAAGAATCTCTTGTGCTAACTTGAGCAGAGTCTTTATCGGACATTTTGACCATCAAGTCTAGCGAACAATGGCACAGCGTGAATCGAAGTCGACAATGATGGCTCGATGACTCATATCCCTCGCCTTCGACCCCGTGCAGATTCTGTGTTATGATGCAATATGCAAGTCTTTATTTCCTCCGATGCAAGAGACGACTGTGCCTTGGAACGGATAATACCCGGAAGCCTGCGGCCTGGAAGCGAGGCAGATGTGGCAATACCAACCTCTTCATTGGCGTGGGGATTTGATCCGGAACGCGATTGCATGAGCAGCCCATGCTTGCAGAGGGACTATCGTGGTATGAAGGCAGATGCGAGGGCTGGATCGCAAAGTAAGTT